CTTGTTGCAGAGCAGATACTGGCGGAGCTTCCTGTCCTCCCGGGAGCGCTGCGCGCGGTAGCTCCCCAGCAGGGTGAGCGTGCTGGTGATCTTCCTCGGGGCCGGGGCGGCGGCACCCGCGCTCGTAGGGCACAGTCGACCCGTAGCAGAAGGACGCACGATACCGTCGGGGCGCTGACCTAAGGAACCCTAGGAACGAGGCCTCTTTTTCTCATGAATTAAATTTCGATGTCCCATGGAAGACCTCAGGAAAACGTAAGGCAAGCTGTAAAGTGATCAAGGAACACCGGGCCCCTCCCCAACGAAAAGGGTTCCTTCTTCAGCGCCCTGACTGTAAGGACGCAGGGGCCTTGGACGCCCATGTCGGAGCTTCACGAGCGGGGCGCGGCCTGCGAAGGTGGCCAGGGATGGACCAGGGCGGCAAGGATGCAACGGGCACCCGTGGGAAGGTGGCCCATCCTTGCCGTGCGGGTTGACAGCAACACGCAGGCGAGGTGTGGCCATCTCCTCGGTTGCCTGGGACACGAGAGCAGAGAGCATAAGCACATACTTTCGGAGTTTCGCGCGGACTTGCTAGATTAGCGCCGGACCGCGCCAGGGGCTGCGCCGGAGGCGTCGTCAGGGGGGCCCTAGAGTAACACGCACCCGAGGTCTGGCCGTCTCCTCTGATGTCTAGAAAACGAACGCAAAGAACACACACAAACTCTCGGAGTTCCGCGCGGACTTACTAGGTTGGCGCTTGACCGCTCCATTGGGTCATCCCCGACGGCCCCGCGTACTTCAGAGGGTGCATCGCCACCGACGGCTCGGTGGTCAACCCCAGCTGGCCGAAGCTCCGCGCGGGCGGCTGGGCGGTCGTGGGGTACAGCATCAACGAGCTGGAGCAGGGCCTGTGGGGCCCGCTGCCTGCCCCCGCGGCGTGCAGCTTGGTCCCCGAGATCTGGGCGATGATCATGGCAGTCCAGCGCGCGGGCCTTCATCTCGGAAGTGAGCATCGACAGCAAGGCGGTGGTCGACGGCTTGCTGGCTGGGCGGGCTCGCTGCTGCGGTGGCGGCTCCATGGCCGCTCACCTGTGGCGTCGCCCCTGGGACCTGCTGGAGGACAGGCAGCTGGTTCCAGGTGAGAACCTCGCGGCGGTGATGATCACGGCCCACGCCTCGAGGGTGAAGCGGGAGGCGTCGCCCGCCGAGCAGCAGGCGAGGCACGTGCTCAAAACGGCGAGGCCAGCAAGTACGCGAAGATGGGCGCTGCCGCCTGCCTAGTGCCCGCCTGGGCAGCGGCGCGCGCGCGGGTAGCCGTAGCAAACGGGTCAAGCGCGGGCTGGACAACATCGCTAGCTTCCGCGTCCTCCTGGCGGGCTCGGGGGCGGCCGCAGCTGTGGCCACGGCGGGAGGCCCGAGGAGTGCGGCCCAGCCGAGGCGCAGGCCGCCGCCATCCAGGGGCCACTCCTTGGTGGGCGCGGGCTCCTCGTGGCGATGCCAGTGCTGGAAGGCCTACTGCAAGTCTGCTGCGGGGCTGAAGCGCCTGCAAGGCGAGGAGTGCCGTCCAGACGCGGAGTTGGCGAAGGCGAGGATGCAGCAGCAGCTACGTCGCAGGCGCGGGGACGCCCATCGCAGTCAGAAGCCGGGCCCAGGCGAGGAGGAGCCGCCAGAGGAGGAGCGCCCACCAGCCCCAGTGATGCCGCTGCCGCCGCCGCCAGCAATACCGCGAGAGCACAAGTGGGCGCGTTGCGCGGACTACACGGTGTGCCACGTGTGCGGCGCCTTCTACTGTCGCCATCTCCGCAGCGCCATGGGAGCTCGCGTGAAGCTGCGCAGCACCAGAAGGGACAACGAGAGGCACCGTCGGCGCGATCGGATCCTGAGTGGGCACGACCCGTACACGAACGCCAATACGGGGGATCGGGTGGACATGCCGCCACAGAGAGAGCGCAGCCCTCAGTGGCACGCTCGGCGGCAGGCGCCACAAGGCGAGTGAAGGCTGGGCGCTGTGCTTTTGATCATCCCTTTTCTTTCTCGGGGCTCCGCACCTCGCCGCTTGGCCCCATCTCTGGCACTTTCGTGGTGCACTGGAGAGAGCTTGAATCGTCAGCACGATGGCTCGGTGCGCGTGCTTGCGGCATTTTGCTTGAGCGACGGCACTGAGCGTGCGACACTGCGCGCGGAGTGCAGTGTGCAGCAGGACTTGCCGGTCTTGCTGCAAGCGGGCCGAGGCGTGGTGCGGACGCCCCCTCGGTGTGAAAGGGAGCAGAGAAAAACACCACACACAACACACACACACACACGCACACACACACACCAACACATCCACGCACCCACCCACCCACCCACACACCCACGCACCCACACACCCACACACCCATGCACCCACAGACCCACAACACCCACAACATACAAACCACACAACACATACACACAACATACACAGCACACAGTACGCAGCACACAGCACACAGCACACAACACACAGCACACAACTCGCACACCCACACCCCTCGCCGGGCGGGCCGGGAGGCGTCCCCAGGAAGGAGGAGAACACCGCGATGCCGAAGAGCAGAACCACACACGCGTACAGCCACTCCGAGAGGTTCGTGGGGTGGTATCTTCGGGGGCGTCCAAGAGGGTGGTCAGCAAATCATGGCCCGAGGCACGTGAGCGGCCTGGGGGTCGAGGGAAGTACTGACATGAGAAGAGTGGGCCATGATATCTGTTGAGATGTCATGGCCCTGGTCATGATATCCCCCTCCCCTCCCCTGGTCATCGCCCCCCTCTTGGCCACCCCCGATACTTGCTGGGCGCGGGCGTGTACTGGGCCATGGACCGTGTGATGGGGGTGGAGACGAGATCGAGGATCGAATGTGAACCGAGGTTATTGGATTCTGTTGTGCCTCCGGAAGCCTCTGGAAGGTTCCAGGGGCGCGGGGACATTAGTGGGATGAGGAGGAGGATGAGGAGGAGGAGGAAGAGGAGGAGGAAGTAGAGGAGGACAACCAGTGGAAGCTCACGACGTAGCGATAGAACGTGCTCTCGTGCTCGATGCTATCCAGCCAGGATGTGTCGTGGCTGTGGGTAGCCATGAAGTGCCACCCGCAGGCCACGAAGTGGTTGAACACCACGAGGTGGCAGAGCAGCCGCAGGATACCCGCGACGGCGCCCATGGCGTCTGAGACCTCGGGCGGGACCGCTCGCCCAGACCCGCTGGGCCCACAGCCCTTGCCCGATCGAGATCCACGACTTCGACAGCACCAGGAGCCGCTCTCCTCCCGTCACTGCTCCAACTCTATGGCAAAAAATAACCACATAAACACAAACTTTTGAAGGTCCGGGCGGATTTCGTGGATCCGCGCTGGACCCCCCTCCCTGGCGCACGGAGCGCGCCAGGGGCGGCGCCGGAGGCGCTGGGGGCCCCAGCGCGGATCCAAGAAATCCGCGCGGAGCGCCAAAAGCGTATGTCTGTAGCGTTTTTGTTTTCTCTTCGACCCCCGTCACTGCTCCAGCTCCTCGTCCTGCTCACTCCCGCCCTCGTCGTCGTCCTCGGAACGGAGCGGGGGGGACGCCAGCGCAGGGCTCCGCGAGGGCGCTGCTCGGAGGGCCGAGGCCCGCAGCCGGGAGGGCCGAAGCCGAGCTGCCGGGAGGGCCGAGGGCGTCGTCGTCGTCCTCCTCCTGCTCCTTCTGCTTCTGCTCCTGCTCCTGCTCCTGCTCCTGCTCCTGCTCCTGCTCCTGCTGCTTCTCCTCCTCCTCCTCCTCCTCCTGCTGCTCCTCCTCCTCCTCCTGCTCCTGCTGCTCCTCCTCCTCCTCCTGCTCCTGCTCCTGCTCCTCCTGCTCTTGCTCTCCTCCTCCTCCTCCTCCTCCGTCCCTTCTCCTTTAAAGAAAAATCTCGGTGTCGCACCCCGAGGCCAGCTTTTAGGGCGCGTCGGGCGCTTCGGCGCGTCGGGCGCTTCGCCTGACAGTTCCTCTCATTTTATGACCCTAAAGCTTAAACTTGGCAGCGGTTTCAAAGATGGAGGGCGGGTCGTTTTCAAAATGTAGCTCTCGCTTTAGCGCCGCGAACATACGTTCTAAACATTTGCAAACGTTCACGGATTGAGGGCGGCTCCTTTTCAAAATGTGGCTCTCGCTTTTGCGCCGCGCATATTCGTTTATACAAAATTGAAAGAGTTGGATTCAGGATTATGCGGGTGCAGCAATTACATTGGTTCGCGGTGTTGCAATCTCGTGAATGGCGTTCTGGCGCGACTCAGGATCGTCAAGACGCAACAGTCGGGTTGATCCGTGGCGTTGGATTCCCGAGAACAATGTTTTGGCATGCTTCAGGATCTACAAACGGTTGTCTTCCAACGAGGCAGTTCCACCAATGGAAATGAACCGTTGTAGGGGCCTGCGAAGAGGAAGCTTGGATGGAGGGCTTATTCCAACATCGTTGGTGACTCTTGGGTTTACAGGTGTCCTCCTCTTCCAACTCCTCCTGCTCCTCCTGCTCCTCCTCCTCCTCCTCCTGCTCCTCCCGCTCCTCATGCTCCTCGACGTCGTCGTCCTCCTCCTCCTCCTCCTCCTCCTCCTCATGATCAACCTGGAGCCCGCGAGGGCAACGACCCAGAGGACGCCATAGGCGTCCTTTCTGCTGCTGCGCCATAGCACCGGCGCTCAGAAACAAAAATTGGAGCGTCCGGCTTTTGGCCGCTGTCGGCCTCTGGAGGCCCTCGCCGAATCCCGGGATCGCCAAAAAACGAGTCAGGACGAAGAGCTGGCCCCAGGGAAGTAGTCCACACGCACCGAAGAAGTTGGAGCGGCCAGATGCCTGGGGCTCTGGCCCGTCGGAGTCGTTGCCGCCGCGGGCCCTCGTCGCCGTTTCCTCCTCCGCACCTTGGGCTCCCCCGAGGGCAGCGACCCCGAATATGCGTAGAAGCGTCCACCCTGCTGCTGTTGATTCTGCTCTAACCTGGCATTGTCGTCGTCGTCGTCGTCGTCGTCGTCGTCGTCGTCGTTGTCGTTGTTAACGT